ACAGTCTCATTTTGCTGCCCAGGCTGGAATGCAGTGGCTTGATCTTGGCTTACTGCAACCTCCACCTCCTGGGATCAAGCGATTCTCCTGCCTGAGCCTCCCGAGTAGCTGGGGTTATAGGCACCTGCCACCAGGCTGGCTAATTTTTGTATTTTTAGTAGAGATGGAGTGTCATCACGTTGGCCTGGCTGGTCTCAACTACCGACCTCATGATTTGCCCATCTCAGCTTCCCAAAGTGCTGGGATTATAGGTGTGAGCCACCGCACCTGCCATAAAGGGAACATTTTCAATATTGCAGATTATAAATTCATGGTGTAAATTCTGCATAGCACAGAAGCCAAGATGTAGAGAATGTAGAGAAAGGTCTTGTATATAGGAAAGAAATATTTTTCAGAGACCCTTGACTATCATACTTTGAAGGAGTTAAACCACTAAGGAGGAAAAACACAAGTAGAGAAGTAAAGGTTTGCAGGTACAAAACACACAGCACTACAGGAGGCAGAGTGGACACAGCTCTTGATCTGAGACACATTTAGCTTTATAAAGTAATTTTTGGCCAGGTGTGGTGACTTATGCCTATAATCCCAGAATTTTGGGAGGCTGAGGCAGGCAGATCACAAGGTCAGGAGTTTGAGAGTAGCCTGGCCAACATGGTAAAACTCTGTCTCCACTAAAAATACAAAATTAGCGAGGCGTGGTGTCATGCACCTGTACTCCCAGCTACTCAGGAGGCTGAGGCAGGAAAATCACTTGGACTCAGGAGATGGAGGTTAAAGTGAGCAGAGATCGTACCACTGCACTCCAGCCTTGGCAACAGAGCAAGAGTCCATCTGAAAAACAAAAACAACCAACAAAAATGTAATTTTTTCCTTTCTCCTTCTCTGGAATTCCTTCTCAGATGGGATTCTCTGGATGAATTACACCTGTATCTTGAGAATATGCTTTTAAAGGTGTCAGCACCAACTGTTTACCTGACACCACCACACCCACAGGCAAAACCAAAACCTGCAGAAAAAGCCCACTTATTTCTGTCCTTTATAACAGAAGAGATTCAGGAACAATAAACTACTCCATAGAGATAAAAATATAACTGTTGGCCAGGCATGATGGCTCACGTCTGTAATCCCAGCACTTTGGGAGGCCAAAGCAGGCAGATCACGAGGTCAGGAGTTCAAGAGCAGCCTGATCGACATGGTGAAACCCTGTCTCTACTAAAAATACAAAAATTAGCTGGCGTAGCAGCACGTGCCTGTAGTCCCAGCTACTCGTGAGGCTGAGGCAGGAGAATCGCTTGAAACCGGGAGGCAGAGGTTGCAGTGAGCCAAGATCGTAGCATTGCACTCCAGCCTGGGTGACAGAGCGAGACTGTCTCAAAACAAACCAAAAATCCTGTCTTTTTTTCTGTCCTCAGATGCCCTGTCTTGCCACAGACACTAGCAATTTCTTCTAATAAGGGCCATACTGTCCTAATCCCCACCAAACCCAAAAGAGAACAGGCCCTGTGACCACCCTTTAGTGCAAAGGTGGAACTTAACTCTTCTAAACGTATCTTAAACCCCTCATAGTTGATTCTGGCCTCACCTCAGAATCACATGAGGCACTTAATTAAAACAATATGGATGCTTCCACCAGAACAATAAATAGAACCTGTGCAAAGGGTACAAGTAAAGAGATTTCTGCAAACTGGCCATGTAATCCTAGTGAGAAGCCTAGGCTGATAACCACTTAGCTAAGCATTGCCTCTCAGGCTTTCTTTTTTTTTTTTTTTCCTGAGATGGAGTTTTGATCTTGTTGCCCAAGCTGGAGTGCAGTGATCTCGGCTCACTGCAACCTCTGCCTCCTGGGTTCAAGCAATTCTCCTGCCTCAGCCTCCCAAATTGCAGGCATCCGCCACTGCACCCAGTGTGGAGCTGGCGTTTCACCATGTTGGTCAGGCTGGTCTCAAACTCCTGACCTCGTGATGTACCCACCTCGGCCACCCAAAGTGCTGGCATTACAGGCATGAGCCACCACGCTCAGCCTTCTCTCAAGCTTTAATGAGCTTAAAAACTGCTTGGTAACTGTAGCCCCACTCTACATAACGTGATTCTGCAGGTTTGGAAAGGATCCATGGATGGGTGTTTTAAACAAGTCCTCTGTCAGTGCTGATGTTGCTCCTCCTGGGCTCATCATTAGCATTAGCTGGAGAAAGCAGGCAAAGCTCAGAGTTCCTTATACTCAGCATTCTCATCACAGCACAAATACTTACAGGGCAAATGAAGACAAAAGTGTCATATTCTTTGCTGGCTCTTTAAGGTTTACAGAGGAAACAGAAGGCAGCAATATCTGAATGAGGCTGCATTTGAAACACATGTACACATGTACTAATGCAATGCTTAGTTAGCAGGTACTACATGCTCGTTAGCAGGTACTATGTGCTCAAGAGTATGTTAGAGCACTGTGCCGGAATAACACATTATGTGATTGAATTCTCATATCACCCTGGGAGTTGGTACTGTGTTTAATAATTCCTAGGATTTTGATAAAG